TTTGTGCAGTCAAAAGCTGTTTTAATAAGGGTTATACCTGCAAGAAAACATTCTTTAGTTTTCCCAAGGACCCAAACCGATAAGTACCACATTATAAGAAATTTTCATTGTTAAAAATATAATTTATACAGGGTATCCCATTAGTGCGTTATTGTTCATTATTTTGTTGTAGACACGCAAGAAAGTTTTAAATAAAAGTTATATGGATTTGAAAAATACCTACATATTTTAAAAATATCTTTGGATATACAGGGTGTCACGTTTTTGCCTGGCAAATTAAAATGTATGTTTTTTAAATGGAACATCTTGTATTTTATTTTATGATAAAATTATTAACACCCTAAATTATTGTAAAGACGAATTGATACAGAAAAATTTTATCAGGTATGTGTGTGGTTACCTTTTAATAAAAGCCTTGCGGATCCACTCCTCTGCGATACCTGTCTTAAATATAACAAAGATCACGTTGAATTAGATGATTTTTCTTTTTATTGCTTTGGCATATGATAACGCCAATCCAGATACATTTGGAAATCTGCAACTGTCAAATGATGAATTTGTAGAACTAATATTCAATATTGAAAAGATATTTCAAAATAATTTTGAAGAATTGGCTACAAAAAATAACATTTGTACCACACTTTTAGAATTAATTAACCCAATACCCTTTAGTCATCCATGCTAACGTTTTCCAAAAGAATAACTTATTTTATTGTATGTTTAATCTCAATAACTAAAAAATATACTGACAATTAGTTTGACAGAATTGTCATTTATTTAAAATTTTAAAAATAATAGCAGTCGGTTGATCAAAATATGAACGGTGATTGGCGAATTTATTTTTTTTTGCAGTGTTCTCACTACCTAGAATGGATATGAAATATATTCGTTCAATTGAAGGCAATAGCATACTTTTTCGTTTTGTAATCTGTATTAGCCAATCTATGCACATACTACAAAACGAAAAAGTATGTTATTGCGTTCAACTACGAATATATTTCATATCCATTTTAGGTAGTGAGAACACTTTAACAAAATTAAATCTACAAATCACAGTTCATATTTTGGTCACCCAACTCCTATTATTTAAATTTTTTTAAATAAGTGACAATTCTATTAAACTAATTGTCAATATTTATTTAAGTTATTGATATTAAATATACAATAAAATTTTTGTGTAGACTCGATAAATAATAGCATTTTCGTTTTTATTATGTCCACATTTAAAAAAAAATAAATTTTAATCAAACTACATGATACTAATTTAATTACGAGTATTAAAACTAAAGTCCTGAAAGTTTCGGTGAAGATGAGGACAGAACATCTGCCTTCCATGCAAAAAGCCCGGGATCGAATCTAGGCCGAGGACTAATGAATTTTTCATGTTAATTTTATTTTATAAATTAGTCAACTTCGTAAATTATTTTAAAATTAGTTATTTTGTCTAAATAACCTAAAATAATTTTTTAAATTTGTAGATTTTCGTTAGTGGGTCATAGAAAAAATATACTGACCATATCGAGTGGATTGTTCATATCACAATCAGACGATTGAGTACTCCGCATACGACGTCGTGCTAAAACTTCGTCTTTGTGTGATATTGCTATCATATCCACCCTTGTTGAACAAACTATAATTTATTTGTTTTCTTGGTTTAAACCAAAACTTAAGTTTTACATCAGAAATAGGAACTAAATTAATTTACTTTTCAAGTTTTCTTATAAAAATCGATATTACTTTCTCCAAGTACAAATTTAGTACCTACCTAAAAGAAGTACTAATTATGTAATATCGTGTAATATTGTAATTCAAATTTCACATTACTATAAAGTTTCAAAATTCCCTACTTCGGTATGGTCAGATAAAAATTGAATATATTATATTAATAAAAACTGTCAAAGTATTACTTCTACAAATCTGTATTTCAATTAATGAGAATACATCTAAATATAACCAATATTGTTAAAATAAAAGCACAAATTCTTTATGATTCCAAAATACCATAGAGTTCCCAGACCTCAGTCGAAGCATTCGTTTATCTAGGTATAAACCCTTTGCGCGAAGAGTAACACTTGCCAGAGACACGGGTACCACTTGATTTGCATCCACGAGCGTGACACAATTCTTTAACAATTGAAGCCCTTGGTGTAAAAAGGATCCAAGCCACAATTTGTCCTGAAGTGACTGTTTTAGCTCAAAACATTTGTTAACGAGGATTTTACTAGCCACATACAAATTATTTTACCTCTAATCCGAAAGATGTGCTATTTTCGTAATATTTATATTTAAATAATGTTTCTAATTATATTTGACAGATTTAAAACAAATTAAAAATTTAATTTCCCAAAACTTACTTAATATGGCATGTAACCAACCTTATTACGCCAAGGTTTTCAATTTTTTCAATAATAAAAAAATTGTTTAATCCGGGCCCGACTTTTCCCTCGAATCTAACAGAGATAGCACCATTCCGTCTTGCTTGGTTCTCGACCGCCAGATCAAAGACGCCGACACGGAGTTGTGGAGCTGTATTGTATAAGCTGTGGTTTTACACTGCATAAAAAATTAATACTGACAGAGACTGTACTGCTTAGCATTTGAGTGGCTAGTATCAACTTTATCGGATTGTCTATTTTATAGCTGGTGGCCGTTTAGTTTTAATTTTTCTAATATTAAACACTCGTTTTTTTTTTTAATAAATGTTTGAAATGATTTACTTAGGTACTGGTAATACTTTTCAAAAATTTGGTGGGGAGCTGATTGGCAAAAATATTTTTCACTTACCTAAGAAAAAAGTAAACTTCTCATACAATTTTTCTACGTAGGATACAAAAACATATTTAAAATGATTAATAAAAATATTAAAATTTTAACTAAAATTATAAATTAAAAATCTTAATAAAATTAAAGTAAATGATAATAAATCACGACCTAAATTTAATTGAAATCCTCGATTACAAAAGAAGTATTTAAAATTGTTACACGGCATAAAACTTGAATACTGACAGAGACTATACTGCCTAGCATTTGAGAGGCTAGTTTCACCTTCATCGGATTAATGTATACTTCTGGTTTTAAAAATTTTTTGTAATTCGTTTGAGAAGTTTAGTTCTTTAGAAAAATAGGTATTAAAAGCTAAGGTGGCGCCATCTAGTGTCAAAACTTTAAATAGTACTAAAGTATTTTGTAGGGGCGCCATCTGTTATCTAAGAGCCGAACCGAAACAAAACTTTATTATTCCATCGTAATACTGATTTAATTTTAGTGAAATCTAAATTATAAGTATTTTTCTGTTTACGTAGATCGAAAAAAATCAGAAAATTCAATAAAAAAGTAATCCTGATTTAAAATTTTAAATTCAAGAATATACAATATTTTTTCGATTAACAATGACGCCATCTGAAGGCCGTAAAACGAACAATAAAATTTAAAAAAAAGTGACAGCCAAAGAAAACTAACCCAATAATTTTTACTAGATATTTTATTTATTTAATAATAAAAAGTGCAAATTTAACTAAATCGATCAAGAAATAGAATTTTAATATATTTTAAAAATACATTGAATATTAAAAGCACCATATAAAAAGGTACACACACACACACACACACACACAGGCCCAAGAGCGAAATTAAAGAACGAGAAAGAAATAGGTACCTAAGTATGTTTAAAAACCAAGTGTAAAACTGATTTTATAACTTATATTTAATATAAATAATTTAAATTGTTCCATTCCAATACCAATACAATTTTCTTGTTTTTTATTATTTCTATTATTTCTTTTTTTTCTTCTAATCATTTTCTATAATTATTTATACCCTTTTTCTATAAGCCAAGTATTTTTTAGTACATTTTTCCAAAAAAAAAAATGAATACTAGCAATTGATTAATAAAAATTCAAAATTTTTCTCAATACAAATACATTTATTTAAAAAAAAAAAAAACAATATTTACAAAAATATTTACACAAAAAAATTAACAATTTACAACAATTAAGAAAACAACAAATTAAAATTAAATATGTATTTATTTTAACAATTTTGTGAAAAAAATATATTATCTATGTATGCTGGATATAGCATGACTGGATGTAGACTGCGGACTGATGTTGTAGGAAGGTAGTACAAATGCCACTAGTAGTAAATATATATTATCTCTGTAGATCTGAAACAAAAGAAAGATATAATTAATAACATAATTAATAATTATTATAGTTAAAAAAATAGAAATAAAAAAATAATAATCACTTCTATGAATTTGATCCTTCTTCTTGACAATGATGTAATTTATAATAGTTTTTCATCTTTTCTACTGATGCAAAATATTTTAGACAGTCGCTCCGTAAACTTCTATCTAATATGGCTTGCAATCAATCAAGAAAGTCTTCGAAGAAAATGGACGACTGCAGGAAGCTTCAGAGGCGTCGGAAGCATCGAAGGCGTCGGAAGCGTCGGATGTAACGAAAACGACAGAGGGATCGAAGACGGAGGCGGCATTAAAATATCAGATGCAATCGTGTCGGTGGTGCAACTAGACGTACTTGCGTCATCGTCATAATATTGAATTGAATTCGTCAATTTGTAAGGTAGTCTCGTACTCATGGATAACGACTTGATGTGGTTTATAACAAATTTGAGGTATCTGAGTTTAGTTTGCAAATTTATACCAGTGATTTCATCGGCAAAAAACACAACGGTATCTTCGGTGGAAAACGTCAAATACCTCTTCCTATAAAACCACGCGACATGATTGAACTGAAAGAAAAAAAAATACAATGCATCTCAATTTTTAAAACAAAAAAAACCAAATAAAAAGTTTAATGCATATAAATAAACTTACATTAAATTCTTGCATCATATGATTATATCTAACACGTCTCATCCCTCTTCTAAATTGTCGTTATAAATGGTAGCCTCTCGATTTGTTTAGCTTCTCTAGGGCATCATCCATTATCGTGTATTGTGTAATATTTGATAATTTCACGATATACTCCATGATAATTCTAAGGAATTTTGTAAATCCTATGCAATTTCTCTTTTTTTTCCAAAAAGTGGTTTGTGTAAACATATTTAATATTTTTGCAACGTTTACATTTATCCATCTTTGTAGATAGATAGTAGGAAATGGCGGTGGCAGCGGCGACGGTGGTAGCAGCGGTGATAGCGGCAATGGTAGCGGCGGTGGCAGTGGCGGTGAAAGCAGCGGTGGCTGCGGCGGTGGTAACGGTGACGACTAACACTAAGAAAAAAACGATCAGCAGTAATAAATTTAAAACTTTTAGTGAATATTAATATAAAAAAATAAAATTAAAAAAAAACGAAAGTCAGTGATTATCGATTGTCCCGTACTTGCCGGCTTGGCACAGGTTTCTAGGGTGCCCCGTTAGACATTTAGTAATGTTTTCGGTAATATGAAAACTGTAATACTGGCAACTAAGTGGTGGTTTAAATGTACAAAGAAAATCAAAGCACCCTAGAAACTGCTTACAAAATACTCTATCAGCATATTTAGGTACCTTGAACATAAGCACGTTAATAATTAACCTAGGATCTATCGAATTTAAGAAAGCAAATGCTGCGAAATATAGCCTATCTTTATATTTTAACTGAGTTGAAAAAAATTTTGTTCTTATAGCATTCGGCAAAGTTCCAACGTCATACAAAAACCGACTCGAAATTGTAAATCTCTCTGGGTTCGTCACTATAAGTGGTAGTCTGACAGTCGGGAAAAGAACGGCTGGCAGACGAGACGTCGTGGCAAACGTCACACGTCGGTGCAATGTCCGAGGTTGCATCGGCATCGAGGCAACGTTCGATAATTGCCTGGTCGTCGAAGCAACCGCAGACGTCGCGACAAAACTCAGTCGTTGCCTAGTAACGGCCGGGAGACGAGACGGCGTGGGATACACCACAGGCCGGTACATTATCCGAGGTTGCATAGGCGTCGCGGCAACGATCGATGATTGCCTCATCTTCGAAGCAAATGCAGACTTGGGGACAACCATCGGTGGTTGCCTCAAGGACGATGCTGCTACAGGCGTCGGAATAATCATCGGTAGTTGCCTCGACGACGATGCTGCCACATGCGTCGGAACAACCATCGGCGGTTGCCTCGACGACGATGCTATCACAGACGTCGGAGTAACCGTCGATGGCGATTTCCGGGACGACGAGGCGACCTGCGAAGATCGACACGGCGTCGAGGCAAACATCGAGAATTCTCGAGACGACGATGCGATGGGAGACGCCGAAAGCGACGCGACAGGAGACGTCGACGTCAGATTTAGTAAAGCTGCCAATGAATCATTTTTACCTTCGATAAACGGAATATGCTTTAAGTTAAACTTTTTTTTAAATAAAACTATTTCTGAATTTTAGAATCTTTAAAGAATAGACGACTAGACTTTGACTTATATATTTTAACCTCCGGTTTAACCGAAGACCAAATTTCTATATCGCTAACATTTAATTTTTTATTTTTAGTGTTCACGGTAATATCAAGGTGATTATTAAATGAAAAATTATTTGAAGCCAAAGAACCACCTGACTGTTCCAACCTCGATTTTTTATTTTCCGGCATTTGAATATCCGAACCTTCTTCTACTTTAATATTACTAATATCTATAAACGAATTTTTATTATCATTTAGGAAAGTGATGCTATTATTATAAACGTGATCGCCGTTGCAGCCATCGTCTCCAGCAGAAGAAATTAATATATGTATATTAGTTTAAGTCCAAATGTTACAATTATTATACAGTGAAACCTGTGTAAAATGGAATCGCACGGTCGTGCACCGATTTTCCGGCATATACAGGATTCCGCGTTACACAGGGTAGATAAAAAATTGCACATAGTAGATTTAAAAAAGTGATGATTTTATTAAAAAAAAATCTAATATACGTACATTTAATATATAGTTGTTATTATTACTATGTACCTACATATTTTTATTTATTATTAGAAACAATATAAATTATTATTTATTCCACATTTCTATCAATCTAAGTTGTTTTTTATTATTTTGTAATACGTAAGATGATTCCATGAATGTCCTTAATTCTAAAATCTTCTTTCTCATCGGTTCGCTCTCTATTCTTTGGGAAAAATCCTCTAACGCTGCAACACTCCTCAAAGCTTCAGAAAAATTTTTTTATCCGATCGGATTCTTCAACTTCTGTTCCTGTAGATAAAAATAATAATTTAAGAACAGATCGTTTTGAAAAGCTAATGGGAAAATAATTTTTTCTATCTGTTATTTTGTGATGGTAACTGAAATCTTCCTATCTTATTTTTATTATGTATTTTAACTTTATTTCTACTTGGCCAAATGCCCAATTAAGATGGAAAGAATAAATAAAAAGTTGTTTATTTTTTTAGAGAATTAGAAAAATCGCTTACCAATTCCAATCCCATCATTATCGTCTGCCACAGTAGTTTCCACGGCAGTTTTTTCTAACACCAGTTCTTCTATGGACTGAAATCCAGCATTTGTTGTAACGGCTTCATCTAATGTGATGTAATCATGAACATTACAACCGGGATTAATTTCAGTAATTAACTCTTCGACTTCTTTTGTACTTTCGTCAATTTCGTCAACATTTTCGATTAGGTCAACGTCTCCATCTTGCTTGATTCCACATGCCGCAAAACATTTTTTAACACAATCAGGTATAATATTTTTTACTGAATAATCAATCCATCTGATAGCATCCAAAACTGATATTTTTTTAGCCAAATCTCCTGCTGATTGAGAGAATCTCATATTCGCAATAATTGATCGCAGCACTTGTTTTCTGTAATGCATTTTGAAGTTTTGTATAACTCCATGATCGAGAGGCTGTGTTTGACTTGTGGTGTTTGGTGGTAGAAAACACAATTTTATATTGGATAGTATTATTTTGGGGTGACACGTTGCATTATCCAAAAATAGAAAGATGTGTCGATTTTCAAATTTCATTTTTTGATTTAAAATTTTTAGCCACTGTTCCATAAGAACTGATGTCATCCATGCTTTTTTATTTGCTCGCCAATAAACTGGTAGCTGAGGCACATTGGTATTGTTAAAACATCGCGGTCTGAGGGATTTTCCAATAACTAGAGGTTTTTCTATTTTTCCGTCAGCAAAGGCGCAAAACAAAACGGTTAACCTTTCTTTAGATTGTTTGCCTCCTTGACATTTTTCACCTTTAAAGCACATTGTCTTGTCCGGCAGCGCTCTATAAAAAAGGCCAGTTTCGTCATAATTAGCAATGTCTTTTAGGGTATATCCTTTAATTAAATCTGTAATGTGCGATGTCCATTCAGTCACAGATTCCATGTCGACGTCCTTAGCTTCACCGCAGATCTGATTAAATCTTATGTTATGTCGTGTTCGAAAACTTTCCAGCCATCCATTCGAAGCTTTAAAATCTACTTTTCCAAAATGGTTTGCAATTTCTCTTGCTTTTTCTTGAATAATTGTTCCAGATACAGGAAGATTGCGAGACCTTGCATCCATAAACCATTCCAAAACTGTTGAATTTACGTCGTCGTGATGTGATTCCTTTGGCTTTCTCTTAATATCGCCATTACCACCACGCATCCACTCTTCTTTAATTTTTTCCTTGTTTTTCAAAATGTCATACACTTGCGTTTTTCCGCACTTAAATTGAATAACCAATTGCTTTGGAGTAAGTTTTTTTTGGTCACTACGTTTAATTAAGTCCATTTTAGATTTTAGCGATAATGTATTCGTTTTTCGGTTTGCCATTTTGAAATGTTTGCACTTTCACGGATAAACTCAAACTGCCGTACCTACACAATACTGGTTTATTTGTGTATTTACTGCTTTTGTACCTAAATTTCTGTGATAATGGTTCTAAGTATTGATAATAGTTCGCCCTTATTATGGGGCTTTCCGAAATCATAAACTAATTGTGTAAACATCTATAAATTCTTTTATACCTGCAAAGCAATAACATAAGTAGGTTCCGGCTTAACAGATTAGGGAAATTCCGTGTTCGCGTTAGACAGGGTTCCGGCTTATAAGCAATTTTTACATTACAATATGTAGGTAATCGCCAAAATTTCCGTCATACATAGGATTCCGTGTTACACAGGTTCCGGCTTACTCAGGTTTCACTGTATATAGATCGTCTCCCCCATAACAATTACATACGTCAATGAAATTCAAGCAAAAATTTCGTATTTGTTTTTTTTTACCTTACCAGACAAATTATTCTGGAAAAAGTAATAAGATGTCTTATTTTATATGTTTGCTCCTACAATAATTTACATTTAGTTGTTAAAGGGCTACGTGAAAAGGTATCGTGTTCAATTCTAATACAATTTTTATTTTATTAGAATTGACAGGCGCTCAGGGGATAATTTCTCAGCGCTGTATAATCCGTCGTAAGATTATGTTATGCCCATAATAAACTTTAAAAGACATTTAAGGATTCGTGCAATTTGTTGCTTTTATATTACTGGCTGTCTCTTGGTTACTCTTCCGAACATATTATGCCGCTATAAAACCGATTAACTCAATAGGAATGGCATGAACTTTCACCCTTTTAAAAATCGACACTAAAACACACAACAAAAATGTAGCTGTAGACGTTCTTTTCTTTCCAACCAACTACTCTTTGGTCTTATGTTCAATATAAAACATAAGTTGTTGGTTAAGTTAGTAATATTACAAGAACATTTTTAGCATTTCTCTTTAATAACTGCATATGTACAATATTAAATAACAAATATAAAATATTTTTTTTACTTTGGTGTTATGGCAAATAAATAATTTAATAGTGGGATATATTTATATGGCAAAAGTACACTGTAAAAACGACATGAATGACAAAAAAAGTTGTATCAACCGTTTCGTTGCTCAAATAAAGTGGATCTTCTGCATGTATTGCTTTAAATAATATTGAATTTGTGATGGTTTCTTTAAGGTGGTTTTACCGCTTTCCGTAAGCGTCGAAGTTGAGATATACTGCATCCCTTTCATAGAATATCTCTGTACCCAATCCTCTCTTTGTTTGTATAAAGACAAGTAAGTATTCGAAAGATGCTGAGGAAGTGGATAGCATATTTAAAAACGCTAAAGGCGTCCCGAAATTATTTTTTGGTCTATATCGATTCTAAACGATATCAATAAACAAAATAAAGTTTTAATGGTTAATTAATCTACTACAGCCATTAGCCTCGTGTTTTGTGCAGGCTTTGTTACTGTTTCCCAGCGCCACTTTAGGAACAGAACTTTTAATTAGAACCCAACAGTGAATGGTCGAGTGAGGAATTCTACCAAGGCATCAGAATTAATTTTAAATAATTAAATTAAATGAAAAAATTCCGGCCAACGGTGGGATTCGATCCTGAGACCTTCCGATCTCAAAGTCATGACCACCCTCAATTAACCTATATTTATTGATAAAAAATATAGATATACAATTTTTTCTAACATTATTCATATACAATTTCATCTTTGCTGTTGCTTATTCTGGTGGACCTGTAGTTGTTGAAATTACTGCAAGACTTGTTGTGATTATTTATAGGAAATATAGACTTGACATTACGATATAGGTCTTTTTTGAAGAAGAACATATATTGCAAAAATCACATTGTATATTTTTGAAGGTCTACGTAATTTATGTACGATTGAAAACTAATTTAATCCATATAAGAAGTTTTTCCACTGTTCTTTCTTGTGTTTTTGTAGTGTTTTTTGCTTCTTTCTTGTTTTCAGCCGCTTGTGTTCTTTCTAATGGATTTTATCTTTTTTTACAAATTTTTCACCATTGGCCGTATAATGCTGCTGTTGCTTATTCTGGTGGAGTTTATTGTATTAAAATTGTTGTTGAGCTTGTTGTTATTATTTAAAGGGAATCCAGACGCTACGTTACATCGTAGGGTTTTGTCAAAGAAGAAAAGTGATTCTTCTTAAACAAATCTTTTATTTTTAATTTTTTTGATAATACTTTATATACCAGCGTTTATTGGGGTGTATTATAATTTTCTTTTCCATCGGTGCTTTATTCTGTAAAACACATTATTTTTTATTAAAAGTAGTTTTGACAAACTATTGTCAACTATCGCATCTTTTAGCACGTATAAAACAAAACAAACTCGCCTTCATTTCCAAAGTCAATGGAACCTCTCATTTCAAAAACGATATAAGTCACTAAAACCTAATTTACAGAGAGGCACAAAACTAGATAATTAAATAAAATAGATAAACTAAATACTATTTTAAATCGATGTGTTTACATGTTTTTAATATAAAATATACACAATAGTTTTTTGTCAAATTTGTTTATTAAAAAAAATATTTTTGAGATCTTTACTTATGCAGTTTATGCAAAGAATAAAAGTAATAAGCAATTTTGTCTCACAAATTAGATACAACAAATTAAACACAATCAATATAAAGTAACAAAAGCTTTATTTTTGATATTATAATAGTATTTGTATACTATTATCATATCCATTATCATCTTCTATATTAGCTTCTTCCTGTTCTGCGATATCTGTTGTTGGCTATCGCAAGATTTCTTAATAAAATGGCTTATACTTGTCCAGAAGATATACTCTTACTTCGCCCCTTCTTATAAAGTCTATTCTTATGTATGAGAGAGTATTAAAATAATAAAGCGTTCGTAATCCATAGGCGTATCACTTCTTTTAGTAGACAGTTAAAATATTTTTTGAAGTTCTTCCTCGAGTATACACTTATATTTTCACCTAATTAACCTGCTTATAGGACCTTTGAATGTGGGCTTAAATTGTGAAATTTCGGAAGCAAATTCAGTAAAATATCTAGGTATTACGGTGGATCGACATTTGAAATGGGATATACAATTAAAACAAATCGTGCAAAAAGTAAGGGGATTACTATCAAAATTTAAATATTTAAAAGACTTTTTAAATCTGGAAAACCTAAAAGTAATGTATCATTCTTTGATAGAATCGATAATGTCATATGGTATACTAGGTTGGGGTGGTGTAAGTGATATTTATCTAAACCAGGCAAATGTTGTTCAAAAATGGGTCTTACGTATAATATATGAAAAAAACCTTACATATCACAGTGATTTGTTATACAAAGAATTGCATATTATAGATCTTAGACAAATGTATTGTTTAAAAATTCTGATGTTTATACAAAAAGGTAAAATTAAATTAAAACCACACCAACATTCGTATAACACAAGAAATAATGACGGTCTATTACTTCCAAGAGCTGATAAAACAATACAGACAAGACACACAAACTACCTAGCACCTAGAATTTATGCCATTTCACCGAATAATATAAAAACTGAAATATCGCGTCATTATTCATTTAAAGCCAAAGTAAAAAGGTGGATTCTAAATGAGGATAGAATAACATTTAGTAAATTGGTTAATAATATAATAAATCCTATATAAAAAAAAAAAAAAAAAAAAAAAAAAAAACTAATTGAGACTACTTACCCGAATTGTGACTACTTAACCGAATTGTGACTACTTACCCAAATTGTGACTAACTACTTATCCGAATTGTGACATACCTCATTTAAATAAATATTTTGAAACCTAAAATTACCAATATTTTCCCGATTGGGACCATTAATCACAAATACCGACTACTTACCTGAATATGTCTTATTGTTGTGTGGACATATATTATGTGTCTTTAGAATAAGTTATTATATAGTTTTAAATTTACATAGAATATTAATAAATTGTATATCTATATATTTGTTTATCTAAACATGTGTTTTTATTATTTTTCACTTATAAGTAGTTGCACTACTTCTGTGATTTTTTTTGTTTATTCCCTTCTTGATGAATTGTATTGCTTTTTTATGTATTTAAAATTACTCATGTGAATAAACATTATTATTATTATTATTAATGTTATTATAACTTCTAAACAGCTGAAGGTAAAAAAGTGCAATTTTTTCTAAAATGTTTTATTTTTTCACAAGGTACGTTAAGAACATTGTGTCAAACGGGTTATTTAGGGTTTAAACTTTGACTTTTAAACAACGTTACGTTCATAAATAATAATTTTAATATAAAAACTACTTCTTACCTACAAATCCAAATCAGAATCGGAAGAAGATGAACTGTCGCAACCAATATTTACAATGAGTGGCCCGATCATTTCATCAGTAATATTGTCCAACTTCCACATTTTCTCTTCTTCTTTAATCGTATGATTTACTGCCTTTTCCCAGTTTTCAGGCTTCACATTATTTACAGCCTCCAAAAACAACTGTTTAACATCACTCATTTTAAAATTATTTTTTCTTGAAACTTCTCCCTTTATATGTGCCCATATCAGTTCAATCGGGTTTACTTTGCAATGATATGGTGGTGATCTAACCACCGTCATCCCACGATTTTTTACAGTTTCATATTTTTTGAATTTCTCTTTATGAAAAGAACACAAATGATACAGTTCTTTTCTCACAGAACCGGGATGGAACTTAATATTCTTTGAATTTAGCCAATTCTGTAAATCTTTTTTTAACCACTTGGTTGTGGGCATTTTTTCTATAAGTCTCGAGTGATAACTTGCATTATCCATTACTACTATAAAGTTTTGAGGAAGAAGATCTATAATTTGTTCGAACCACCCTTTAAAGACATCAGCATTTTTGTCCTCATGATAGTCACCGGTACGAGTAGATTCAAAAGTCAATAAACCACCTTTAACAAAACCGTTTGAACTACCGATGTGTACTATTATTAGTCTGCGCCCCTTTCCTGATGGTGGATTTAAACCAGTAGATAAATTATTTAAAAAAGCCTGTCTTCGACTTGTAACAGTTTCATCTTGCCAAAATTTATTTGGTTTATGTCTCTCGTTGATCCATGTTTCATCTAAATAAAATATATTTCTTCATTGGTTACTCATTTCTTTTATAGTTTTTAGGTAATTTCTTCTCCATACTACAATATCGCTTTTCTCTATTAAAATAGACTTTCTGAAATGCTTTTTCCATAGAAAACCTATTTCTTTTAGAAGTTTCCATAGTGTGCTTCGACTCATTTCAGGGTAATCCTTATCATCTCGAACCGTGGCAAGATCTTTGTCTACTGTCGGAAATTCTTTTCTAAAGAAGAACGCATGCACTTTCCTTCGAAGTCTTTCTTTCAAAAGATTTTCTAATTGAAATTTTGGTTTTCCTGAAGCTATATGTGCTGTTTGAAACTCACCACATTTCTCTTCTTTAACAACTCTGTAAATCGTAGATTTCCCAACACCAAGCGTACTACTAACTAATTCCATTGTGTCACCAACACTTTTACATAAATGTTTGTCTGTAAATGATTTAAAACAATTAAATATTAATGTTTTTTCATTAACTGTTAAAGGACAGATTTTTTGTCGTTTACGCGGCCCTTCCAAATGTTTCATGATCACACTAGAATTCACACTGTACTTTGCAACTAAACGATATTTAGTAAACTGTCAGGAATACACAACTTGGACCTCCTTACTAAATGGAAAACCTATAATCGCATTTTCGGTGAAATTTGTTGGGAAGGTATTTATCTACTTATAATTCGATTACTGTAAGAAATTTTTGGAATTAAAATAAAACAAAATTGGCATATAGGTACTTATTGAAAATAATCTTAAGATACGGCTATGTAATCTTTAATACTCAGACAGGGCTTTTGGCCTGTCGAAACCTTTTTCTATTGTTCTGTATAGCTTAGGTTTATAAAGGACTAATAAAAGACACAAAACTTGTAATAGCGCAGGTACATTTATAACAATTTTAGGAAATATTTAGATTATTCTGTAAAAATATTTAAAATGACCGTACTAAGTTTTGCATTAGAAATGCTGTTTTATTACTCTCTCATACATAAAAATAGACTATAATACGACCCCGTCCGGAGAATAAGCCAGCCATAGAAATTTTTGGCAAATAACCAAACCCATTTCAATAACATTGTAGTTATTGTTCTTGCTATATATTTCCAATGCCTCCTTTTCATACCGTGGTCAGTGTATTTTGATTTGAATCCTTTAGGCCAGAAATTTTTTTTTGCCATGGTGTCCCAATTTTTTTTGAAAATGTATACAAAGAATAACATCTTGATCCTAAAAATTTAAAAAAGTAAGATTAATTAATCATAATTAGTTTTCTAGATAAGGGAGAGGCACAGGACTTAATGAGAAATGCTTACCTGTTATTCTGAACTGTCTTTCTTGTTTCCAAATATCCGAGTGCTGTTTAGACCGAATGGCTTTCTCGAATGTACTAACATCCAAAATCTCCTTTAAAACTTTTTTGCAGCAAACCTTTAAATTAAAAGTTTCTACATCCATCTGTAGACTTGCTAAAAAATCCGAATTTAGAGCATTTTCTATTACTGATGTAATTTCCATCGACATTTCCTCAGTCATGGTTTGAAAAAATGCTATTTCATGGCGACCTTTTCTGAAAAAAAAAATATTTTTATAATTTTAACTACCTCACATTAATTAACAGTATAATATTGTATACTTACAAATGAAATGCCAAACTTGAGTCAGGACAAGCAGCAATTAAGGTATTAAAACAATGGTTTTTATCTTCCTGGCATAAAACTTCTTTATTTTTAACTTTATCCTTGTAGCAAAAAGTTTGTAGAAGTGGCATTGCTTCGTACTGTTCCTGAACAGTTTTTTTGTGTCCAGTAGCATTTTACATCCGTACTTGATAGTATTTCCAAAGTAGTAACAATGGATCTAAAAATATACAAATATATTTTAAATGAATTTAAAGTGAAGTCCGAATCAAATCTCAGTATATTATATTATATTATGTTTTAAGTACAATCTATTAATAATTACCTTGTACACTTTAATAAAACTGCACTTATATGTTTACAAGTTCCAGATAAACCATGTAAACTCGCTGATCCCCAGAATATTATTTTCTTTAAAAATAAATTTCCTATTTATTTCATGAGGGTTGCTTTTGATTGCACTAGTTTGTAGGCACAGGGCTAATATTTTCACATATTCCTTATTTTTGGATGTTGTGCCAATTAAAATTATGTGGTTTGCATGTAGTAACTGCTCACTTTCTGTAATGCATCTACTCTCTGCATTAGCACCAAGATATCCAAAAATGGAAGCTAACGTAAGGAAAACTTTACGTTCGTCACTCATTTTTATAAAATAAAATAAATTTAAAACACGATCACTTCTGACAACAGCTTCTAACAAAGTATAACTAATAACATTTTGTGGTCGCTTTAAACTCCAAAAATACATAGGTAAGTACATTTTAATAGCCAAGGCAGGAAGAAATACCAGGAATCAATATAACGTTTTTCCATTTTTCTTTACACACGCAAGCGCCCTCATCGGTAATCGAAATCACGAATACGTGGTAAAATCACAGCCGTTGAAGAAACAGCCGGTGGACGAGACGTCGAGGCATACGTCACAGGTCGGTATAATCTCTGGGGTTGCATCGGCGTCGTAGCAACCATAGACGTCGCGGGAACCATCGGTGATTGCCTCGTCATCGAAGCAATCACAGACTTCGCGATAACCCTCGGTGGTTGCCTCAACATCGATGCTGCCACAAACGTCCCAGTAACCATCGGTGGTTGCCCCGACGTCGATGCTACCACAGACGTGGGGGAAACCCTAAATATTTACCTCGACGTCGAGGTAACCGCAGACGATTGCCGGGACGACGAGGCGACCCCAGAAGGTCGACACGGCGTCGAGGCAAACATCGAGGACATCGATGCGACAGGAGACGTCGACGTCAACGTCAGATTTAGGAAAGATTGCAACGAATAATTTTGACTTTCGACAAAAGGAATATACTTGAAATTAAACGCAGGCTTTCTATTTAAATAAAACGATTTGTGAATTTTATAATCTTAAAATAATAATCGACTCGGCGACGGTCACTTATATAATTTGGCCTCCGGTTTAACCGAAGTCCAAATTTCTGTATCGCTAACATTTAATTTACTTCTAATATTTACAGTCGCATTAAAATAATTATTAAAGGTGAAATTGTTTAAATCTAAAGAACCAACTCACTGTTCCAACCTCGATTTTTGGTGTTCCGGCATTTCAATATCTGTACCTTTTTCGACTTTAATATTACTAACATCTATAAATGAATGTTTATCATCATTTACGAAAACAATACTATTATTACTATTATTATCATCGCCGTTGCCGCCATCTTCTCCAACAGAAGGAATAACTACGTTTAATAGAAGTTCGTCAGACGAATCAAACAGGGAACTTTCATCCATGATGACGATGATTTATGTATTTAACTAAAAGTAAATTTTGAAATTAAAATTTTGTTATTAAATGAATCACTCTGTATATATCAGAATTTTATATAAATTTTATGACATCAAAAATTAATAATGATATTGGGAAAAAATGAATTGATATTAACTATTCTAAAGATAGAAATATTATCAATAACGGCTGGGAAAGTATCTGTTACATCCCTGAAAGGTTCGTTATAATAAATGGTTTTAGCTTCTATTTCCGTTACACGATTTAAAAATGCTTCTTCTACTAAAAGATGGTCCAAAGCATAATTCGAAACCATTATAATGGGGTACTTCCAAACGATATTTATACTCGCCTTATGCTTTCGACGTACAACAGTATTGCTACCCTCCAATAAAGTTTTCAAAAGCGATATATTGTAATTTTTAATATTAAACTCCTCCATAAGAATGAATTTGTGAAAATTAGGGTTAAGCCCTTCTAAAAAAAATTCGCCACCACTTGGGTAAAATATTCTACGCACCAAGTGTTTATTTAACAAGTCTTTAATAATGAAAGTTGATTTTCCCATGTTAGACCGTCCAAACAAATATAATTGCCTTTTCTTGTGAACATGGGGCATACAAATAAACTGATTAAACCAGTAGGTTACGCCATACGTCCACTCAGTAAACCTACTAACATTAATTCGTTTAAAATAACGGTTATCGAACTCTTCTACTCCATCTTCAAGAAAATCGGCCCAAAACGTACTTTGCAATGATATGGTGGTGATCTAACCACCGTCATCCCACGATTTTTTACAGTTTCATATTTTTTGAATTTCTCTTTATGAAAAGAACACAAATGATACAGTTCTTTTCTCAAAGAACCGGGATGGAACTTAATATTCTTTGAATTTAGCCAATTCTGTAAATCTTTTTTTAACCACTTGGTTGTGGGCATTTTTTATATAAGTCTCGAGTGATAACTTGCATTATCCATTACTATTATACAGTTCTAAGGAAGAAGATCTATAATTTGTTCGACCCACCCTTTAAAGACATCAGCATTTTTGTCCTCATGATAGTCACCGGTACGAATAGACTCAAAAGTCAATAAACCACCTTTAACAAAACCGTTTGAACTACCGATGTGTACTATTATTAGTCTGCGCCCCTTTCCTGATGGTGGATTTAAACCAGTAGATAAATTATTTAAAAAAGCCTGTCTTCGACTTGTAACAGTTTCATCTTGCCAAAATTTATTTGGTTAATGTCTCTCGTTGATCCATGTTTCATCTAAATAAAATATATTTCTCCTTTGGTTTCTCATTTCTTTTTTAGTTTTTAGGTAATTTCTTCTCCATACTACAATATCGCTTTTTTCTATTAAAATAGACTTTCTGGAATGCTTTTTCCATAGAAAACCTATTTCTTTTAAAAGTTTCCATAGTGTGCTTCGACTCATTTCAGGGTAATCCTTATCATCTCGAACCGTGGCAAGATCTTTGTCTACTGTCGGAAATTCTTTTCTAAAGAAGAACACATGCACTTTCCTTCGAAGTCTTTCTTTCAAAAGATTTTCTAATTGAAATTTTGGTTTTCCTGGAGCTTTACGTGCTGTCCGAAACTCGCCACATTTCTCTTCTTTAACAACTCTGTAAATCGTAGATTTCCCAACACCAAGCGTACTACTAACTAATTCCATTGTGTCACCAACACTTTTACATAAAAGTTTGTCTGTAAATGATTTAAAACAATTAAATATTAATGTTTTTTCATTAACTGTTAAAGGACAGATTTTTTGTCGTTTACGCGGCCCTTCCAAATTTTCCATGATCACACTAGAATTCCTTTTACTTTTAAATTTTCGAATATTAAACCCTCGTTTTTTTCAAATAAATTTTTGAAATGATTTACTTAGGTACTGGTAATACTTTTCAAAAATTTGGTGGAGAGCTGATTGACAAAAATATTTTTCTCTTGCCTCAGAAAAAAGTAAACTTCTCATGCAATTTTTCTACGTAGGATACAAAAACATATTTAAAATTGTTAATAAAAATTTTAAAATTGTTAATAAAAATTTTAAAATTGTTAATAAAAATTTTAAAATTGTTAATAAAAATTTTAAAATTGTTAATAAAAATTTTAAAATTGTTAATAAAAATTTTAAAATTAAACTAAAATTATTAAATTACTAATTAAAAATCTTAATAAAATTAAAGTAAATGATAATAAATTACGACCTAAATTTAATTGAAATCCTCTATTACAAAAGAAGTATTTAAAATTGTTACACGGCATAAAATCTGAATACTGACAGAGACTATACTGCCTTGCATTTGAGAGGCTAGTTTCACCTTCATCGGATTGTCTATTTTATAGCTGGTGTCCTTTTATTTTTAAATTTTCTAATATTAAACGCTTGTTTTTTTTTTAAATTTTAGAAATAATTGCTTAGGTCTGGCAATACATTTCAAAAATTTGGTGGAGAGCTGAATGAAAAAAATATTTTCTGCTTGAGAGCTGATTGGTATAAATATTTTTCGCTTGATTAAGGAAAAGAGTAAACTTTCCATGCAATTTTTCTACGTAGGATACAAAAATTTATTTAAAATTGTTAATAAAAATTTTAAATAAAATTATTAGATTACAAATTCAAAATCCTAATAAAATTAAAGTAAATGATAATAAATCACAACCTAAATATAATTGAAATCCTCGATTACGAAAAATGTTGGAAAACCTACAGTGTCGTAAAGAATGTCCCATCAACAAATCATTCTTGTAATTCTATTAAAATCTAAAATAAAGAAAAACATAGCCTCCTACGAAAATTTTCATTATTTATAAATTTCTAAATGTTAGGGACTGAATTATCGCATATTTACATTTTACCGTTGTATTTTTTACGAACGACAGTTTCACTACCTAATTAAATGTAAAATCAAAATTTAAATTTTTTAAAAACAATTTTAATATGATAAAATATTTTCAATAGTTCTAAAAATAAACACTATAATTCGATTGATAATAATCCCTTTCATTTAATTCTCTATATAAGTTATAATTATTGCTTAAAGTACCGAAATTTTCTGTTAAATATTGATCATAATATTGATTATATTAAATTAACTAGTCAACAAAGTACGAATCCTTAATACGTTAATACTTTTAAATATTACTGTAAATTGTTTTGAAAATCACAATTTAATTCCAAATTAACGAATTTTAAGTCTCTTAATAACCCTTGTCAAATTGCAATTGTCAAACCTATCTAACACTCATTAACTAAGAAGCTTGGAAAGGTTGGAACAGGTAAACCCCTATTTAATACCGCCCATCTGTAAAGGACTTCAGTTCTCTATAAGCTTTAGTTTTGACTTAGTGTATTAGT